TCTCTTGTGTGCCAACCCACAAATGTTGTGGTACTGCTTGCTTTGGTTAGGTTCAATGTTGAACCACAAAGTTTGTGGGTTGGCACACAATTGTAAGCTTAAGTAAAAGAATAATCACTCGAGGGGCATTTGGGGGAGCGAATTCAATAAGAGGATCTAGTAGCGTGTAATTGATCAACTAATGGTCCAAAATAACAAGTGAATAGTCTCCGAGAGTTCCAGTGAATAGTAGCAAGTTGTGAAATTGATATCAAGATGGCAGCAGCGATTTTATGCAAATGTAATTGAAACTCAATAAAATAATGTACTTCCTACCGGAAAACAGCTTCGAGTCTCCCTGCATGCTTGAACCGACTGAAGTTCCGGCCAATTGCAAGGCTTGACCACTTCCATTTGTTCCTGACACAAGGATACCCATATTGCCTAGACTGCCGACGACCAACTGAGTATCCTCATTGCACAGGGAAGAGAGGCCAGGAGAGGACTCACTTGCTTCGCCAGAAATGAAGGTGCCCCCAGGCGAAGGGAGGCTTCCGGCGCCACCACTGCAGTTACCTAATTGCGTCAACAAAGGAGCCTGCTGCTGTTGTTGTTGATGGATAATGCAAGAAGTTGACTGTGTGGGCAAGGATTGAGTGAGCAGAAGGCCGATAAGGGGGGAAGTTGAGAAGCTTCCGTTGGCTAAATTCGATTCATGCATAGAGCGCCATTCATGCAACTGAGGAGAACATTCAAATTCGGTTGGTGGCGACATATCCTCTGGCAAAAGAGTAGGAGAAGTCTGCTCTAGCTTCATGCACTTCTCAAGCTCCTGTGATTTAAAAATAAAAATAGAGGCTAAATAAAAAATAAAGACAAGCGGCTGAAAAAGCATAAGTTCGAATCATTCAAAATGAAAACAGATATGATAATCAAAGATAGCGAAATTTTAGCTAGCTCCTGCTAGCTTAAATAGTAAAAACTCACCATTATACATAATAGATTCACAAAATATGTAGAATAAGAGAGTACGTACGAGGCATCACAACTGCGGGAAGCTAGTAGGATAGCATAAAATGGAGAGTAAAGCTGTAAGAATAACCAGGCTTGAATAGTCTAAGTGCAGCGAAGAAATAATCGAAACAAAGCCAGCAAGAGACGTATTGAATTAAATCAGCTTATCAATAAGTGCTCACAAGGCATGTCGTAAATCTGCATGATATGTATAGAAGACATTAAAATATGGAGAACTACAGTTCAGTCGTGCAAGAACGGTGTTTTACTTTTGGTTTTCCGAGAATATGTCATAAAAAGCAGATTTTATAGCCCCGAAGATGAGCATATAAATGAGTTAGTGTGGACATTGATGAATTGAAAAGTAATGAGGATATAATACAAGTTAACTAGAGAATAACGAATATGACGGGCATTTAGTTAAGTGGATCTAGGGAAGAAAATAAATAATTGTATGTACTCTACCTATGATTAGCTAAGGTAAGCCAACGCCAAACAGTATTTCATTGAATTAAAATGTGGCATTCTTATTATTGTTATAGTTATATGTAAATTTTTCATAGATTATCAGCACCAGATTGCATATTCATTTGAGATAGGAGAAACATGGCTTGCTTTGAACGACCCATTTGCGCTGTGACCCACCTGTAGTAGAATGCAGTACGCTGGATAAGAGTATTTGAGAGGCAAGGCTTAATGAAATTCAATAGCATCGTGAGCCCTACTCATCAACATTGAACCTAATCAAGACAAGCAGTATCACAGCATTTGTGGGTTGGCACGCAAAAGACTAGGACATGTAAAGTCAAAGACTTGGTATTAGGGACGCGGCGAAGACTGGAGCTACTTGGCTGAAAGTAGGTTTTACCAGACTTGGTCCATGTAGCAAAGGCATGACCATGAGACTTACTCTGAGGCCTTAGCTTCTGATTAATCACCCAGGTGCAGAGGATGTACGAATTACGCCTCGAGTAGCACAGGGGTAGGGGTCGAGTGAAATACGTGAACCAGGGATATAGGAGACGGATCTTACGGAGCAAGAGAGTCTGTGATAAGACCTAGGGAAGGACGGCATAACAATATGGCAGACTGATCACCATTCCCAACACAAGGGTGAAGGGGGTGAGAACGACAGCGTAGTGTTAAGGGTTTTCATGAATGCCACTCAAAGAAGCAGACCACACTATATCGAAATAAGCACGGTACAAATTGTAACAGTGAAGGTATGATAGGAGGATATGAAAAATGTGAATAGCCTAGGGCAGAAGGAGAGATACCACAATTGCTTAGCACACGTTTGGTCAAAGGATCGGCTTCACTTGTATTTGACGAGTTGTTGTGTGGTGGTAAGAATGGAAAGATTCAATGACGAGGCCGGCGAAACGTCTGGGAATGTACCACATCCACGGTCCGAATTTGGAAATGATCATGCATACAATGGACTCTGGACTAGGTGCGTTCCACTAAGTCTTTCTACCAATATGACCAAGTTGCGAAAGCAAGGTCAAACAACCTCTATACAACGAAAGGAGACTGCGACCACACAAAAGGCCACACCACCTTGGTCTTCATACCTTCGATGAAAGATATAAAAACTCGATTACCAGTAAATGAATCATCCTAAACGAGCCAGGGTGACTAGGTTCTTATTAAATCTGCTATTAATAAAATAAAAGCCAATAGCTAAGCATTGAAGTAGTCTGACTCCGTTTTCGCAACTTGACCGTATTGCGCACCTCGTCTGGACCCCTCTGTCATAGCATCTATGATAAATTCCAGAGATGGGCCATGTACACGGTATATCACTGGAAGTTTCGCCAGCATGATCAGCGAGTCTTGCCACAATTAATACTCATTTATAAATGAAGTCCATATCTTAAATAGCCTTATGCCGAACGATTGTGCTATCATTCTCTTTATCCTGGAATATCACCCACCCCCTAGTTATGGCTTAATGCTATGAACGTCAAGGCTAACTGAAGATATTCACCAAGCGTCTGGAAATGTACCAATTATATGGCCCGAAGTTGGAAATTCTAGTGAACACTGAAAAAAGACTCGGGACAAGATGCGTCCATCTAGGTTCCTTATGCAATAAGACCAAGTTGACAAGAGATCAAAGTACTTATATAGAATGGTGTCTGATAATGGGTAACGAACTAAGCATAAGGGAAATGTTTAAATGCCTGTAATATAGATAAGCCACGAACTCTAAGAGAATAAAAATCTCGCAAAGTAATCTAGAAACAAAGTCTATAAGAAGTTTACTCATTCTTTGAACAGTAAGGAGCAATAAATTAAATGAATATAGGGGCGATATAATAGAGAATATACAAGGAATGAAAGGCTGAGAATTGGCACAAAGCTGTAGATTATGATGGACTCATATTTTATCGAGAAAATATCTGGGTTTTAGGTAATGGATGATATTTTTATAAGACCAAGATAGTGTGGTCTTTAATATGATCGCGGCCTCCTTTCATTGTATATAAGTTATTTGACCTTATTTTCGCAACTTGGCTATGTTGGTATGAAGGCCTAGAGAATAGCACTTTGTCCAGAGTCCATAGTATGCATGATAATTTCTAGTCGGACAGTGAACTTGGTTCATTCCCAGACGTTTCGCCAAGATTGTCAGTGAGTCTTGCCATTCTCAGCTTAGTTCTTGGACGATGAGTTGAACAGTGACTCAAAATATCCTTAGTAGCGGATACCCCAGAGAATTAACAGCGATAAATATATAAGGGACATAAAGAACAGATATGAAAATAAAATCAGGAATTGATACGACTTCGGACTTCGGTGCGTTCTACATAGTCGCCCTGACAACAAGACCAAGTTGCGACGAGGTCAACCCACTTCTTAAATAAGCAAGTTAAAAACAGTGATAGTGAAGGGGTGTTACCAAGATATAAGATATAAATAAACAGGAAAAGAGGGAGAGAAGCCACAAATGTTTAGCAGATAAGTGATTAAAGGATCGACTCCACTTGCCTCTGACAAATTGCTGTGTGGTGCTCAATGACGATGCCGGCAAAATGTCTGAGAATGAACCAAGTCTACGGCCCAACTAGATATTATCATGCCTGGTATGTAAGCCGGACAAGGTGCGCTCCACCAGGTCCCCCCCACCAATATGGAAGTTGCTAAAACGAGGTCAACCAAGCAGGATATTTTTCTAGTTTACCCAACAGAAGAGTATGTATATTTTAAATCTCGTAAACATTTTAATGGACAAAATGATCGATCTTGAATTGGTTGACAGAGCCTGGACTCTTTAATCGAGAATAAGATAATGTAAAAATTCAGTCAGGATAGTCCAATATAATTATGCACTATGATAGCCAGTAAATGAAAGGATATTCAACTAACACATTTAAATGCCCATTATCACCATATTATTAACACAATTGAATATAAAATAAATGTAATCTTTGTTTTCAAGTTAATCAAAAGTAAATCAGCTCACAGAAATTCGTTTCTCAAGCCTAGTGATTACAGTTGCCGCCAACTCAGCCTCCTTGCGAATGACAATGCACTTAGAAGCTTCATTTCGCAAAATATTTATGTATTCAACAGAATTTTTCAGAATGCTTCCTTTGTTTTTCTTACACTCTCTAAAATTAAAATAAATAAAATGTACACTAGCCTGACTAATAGTATGCAAGGAGGAAGAATAAAGGGATTCAAATAAAAGTATGATAAATGGTAAGAGTATGAGCTACTAGCATTAACAAGCTACTTTAGATATGTATTCCTTTAAACAAAATAGCATCTAATGCATACAAAGTCAGAAAGAGGCTAAATAATGCGACAGGGTTTATAATGCAACGGACACTTACCCTTCACGAAACAAACTCTCCGGCAAGAGCTCACCCAATTCAGAAATCTGACAATTTATATAATCACGGCGCTTGCGCTCGACTGAATTAGAAAGTAATTTAAAAGAAAAACGGACAAGTAAATACATTAAGCAGACTGCATAAGCAAAAAGTAACATGTCAATAGTGATGAGAACAGAACTGACTTCGATTATGACTATCTTTTTTGTTTCGGTCACGCATCCAAGCGATTTGATCTTCGTCCGAGTGAGCAATACTTGATGGGAGCAAACGATTAGGCGGACTGTTGGAGACTATTGATTTAGAATGATGGCCGGAACTTTGCGCATGAGAACCAGCTTGGGAATGAGGAACCACACCTTCCATCCCAGCTGGACACGATGTTGAAGGTTTTATAAGACTTGTCGTGTCTTCAGAGCCAAAGGAAGTTACGACTTGAGCCGGCTGGACTCCAGTGACCAATCGTACACCACGAGTTTGGCTATTTGTGCTGATCTTGATTAATTGGTTATCATAAATACAATAAATAGAAAGTCAATGATGGTATATATATATGTAAATGATGATATTTATAAAAGATATTAAGGGCATAATTACAAAACAATGACAAAATAATCCTAGGCCAACAAGGAGGAAACTGAGTGTTAGAGCACAGTTAATATGGTTCAAAAAATGATAAACACTATGAAGACTTTTGCCGGTCACTATGTAGAATTTTAAATAATAAGTGCATCGTCGAT